CGGCAGAGCATTTATTCTGCTACGCCTCTCGAAAGAGTGTACTTTTTTGTTGTTGTTATTTATTTATGTTTCGTTTTCATCTAATCCGAATATAAATGTAACACATGCATACATATATATTTACCTGTAAGCTAAATAAGTATTTAAGTACGATCGTAAATAACGCGGATAGTATTGTTTTTTGTTTTTTTTTTTTCAAAAGAACAAATAAATTAAAATATATCGCACTCTTTAAGCCAGCGATTAGTTTTCAACAAATCATAAAAAAAAACCATATCTATTGTTGAGCTGCCAGCGTAAGTGTCGACAAATCAAACACACAAAAATAAAAGACACAGTTATTTTGGATTTTCGTTTTAACAGCTTTGAAATGTAACTAAAACATATTTCTGTTATCGATTTTGCTTTCACATTTACCAGCCCCGATAAATTCACATTGCTGTTTTTCCTTTTCATTTTTATTTTTATTTTTGTTTTTCAAATTTCGTTCGATTTCATTCTTTCAATGTGCGTGTCCAAGTTTTGAGTTCTTCAATTTGCGTTCAATGTTGATTTCTAAGCGAATACTTGGTATTTAAGAATGAGATATTTCCCCACTAAAACTATTAACCAAATACTAACCAATAAATAATAAGCTGAGCATTGAGAAATCCTGCCCCGATTGACAAGTGCTTGCGGCATCCTAGGGCCAAAGGAACTACCGACCGCCGATTGAGAAGTCATTGTGTGCCAGTGCGACAGTCCGTAATAGTCCTTATATGTAATTGTCGAATGTAACTTTTCTGTTTGATTTTTGTTGAAGTTCTTTGTGATGGAAAGTTTTCCGTTTCATTTCGTTTGTGTTGGTTTGCTTGCAAATATTTAAGTTTTTGAAAGTTTTTGTTGGTGATGAGTGCATCGGCACTACACTTGGCTTTCGCCAGCAGACTATGCAGGGAATGCATAATAGCTCTACAATAATATTAAAATATTAACAAAAAAAAAATAAAAGAAAATAAAATCTTAAAAGCCAAAAAAAAATTAAGTTCTAAATATATCTCTATTTTATCTATTTATCTCTTTTTACTTTCAATTTTTGTCCTATCTTTTTTATTGTATACATGTCTGTGTACCCTTTGTCGCTTTACGGCTGCTTGGCACAAATGCAATACCGTATATTTTAAAATCCAAAAAAACAAAAAAATAATTTAAACCAAAACACTTTACAAAACCACCAATGATGTGTGAACGCAATAATTGAAATAAAACCACCCTCAACGAAATATTGAATGAATAACCAACAAATACATACTCCAAATGTGAAATGTGATTTATGAAAATTCGTGCGAAAAGTCTCTTCTGGAGTTCATTCACGCCTTGGTAAGTTGACAATTGCGAATCTCAGAGAAATCGATAACTCGATCAGGACTCATACGGGCAACTGAAACCCGACAAAATAAGAACAGAAAACACATATTTCATTTTATAGTTTCTTTCGTCAATGTGTTTCGTTTTCCGATGTATCTCGAAATCAGAACGAGCAAAAACGAGCAGAGGACTTTGCCACTAAATCACAAAAATTCGATTTTACCGCAACACAAAAATACATTTGTACATAAATACAAAGTTATATACATATCTATACATGTATTGATACTATGGAACGAAGATCAGAGATGGGAGCAAACTTTTTAATTTTCTTTTGATTTCTCTCTTGATTTCTCCAAAATAGAACACCAAAAAGCAAACGAAACACAACAACGAAAACACAAAAATGCTGCCAACAGCAACTTGTAAATAAAAACTTTTAATTCTCTATGTGTGTGTGTGTTATTCGCGGACGAATGCCTTCACTCTTAGACGTAAATTAAATATGCAACTATGCAAATAAATAAATAAATTCGATTTGCCGTTATCTCACAATAACTCTTATGACTGTTATGATTATTATATAGTATTATCCATTATTTATTATCTAACTATTGTACTATTGCTATCGAATAGAGTTGTTTGTTGTACTCGTATGTGTACGTGTCTATGTGTATTCTGTTGATTAAATTCCAAGTGTGTCTTGATTTTTCCTTCAGTACGTTTTTGTTGTATATTTGTTTTTTTTGTTTTTTGTTTTATATCATTTTCATTTGATGATCACTAATCACTAACATCGATTAACCACATTTTTCCAATCAGTCTGTAATTTTTTGGCGGCACAAAGTGATCGAGAAGTGCAGACTGGGGCGAAGCCTTGCGCTGCTCCTCGGCCGTTTTGCGCTCGCCTAATGTTGTTCTACTTTCTTATGTACTAACATTTCATTTTTATGTAACCATACACTCGATATGCAGCAAACTATTAACTACGCCTGATATGTACATATTTTTAAATTACAACAACAAAAAAGTTCACGAAAATTCAATTTCAACTCACGTCGTCCAACTCGATGATTATTTTCAATTTTATGTTATGTAATTAAAATCCGTATCTTTTTTGTATAAAAGTAGAAACTTACAATATTCTTTAAAGTAAAAGGCTCTTTCTTTAAACCGAAAATTTCGATTTTATTATTCACACAAATAAATTTACTTTTACACTTTGACTTAAGTTTTGTGCTTTTTATCAAATAACCAAAACAAAATACCCTTAAAGTTATTTTTTTTTTTGTTGGTTTTTCTTCAGGGTACATTTTTTACAGCAAAGTGACCGTACAACAATACTATATTTATATATATATATATATACATATATATTTCTATTTATATCTATCAAATATTTAATAACTAATTAAAAAGAAAAGTTTGAAAAACAATACAAAACAGGAAAAGCAAAATACTTTTGTTCTAAAATGCCATACAACAGAGAAATGAAAAATGTGCTACCAAATGAACCCAAAGCCCCTATATGTATTTGCCACAGCCCAAACCCCAAACGAGTTTCCCTACAATTAAAAAAAATAAAAATAATTCATAGAAATACTTGAAGTTAAAGCATCAAAACAAAAGTAAAAAAAAAGTAAAATTAAAAGACAGGATGTTAAAGTTAACAAACATTGAAAAAAAGTTACCAAGAAACCCTTCACTTCTTCCTCTTGTCTGCGTCTAAAAACCATTTGTTGATCACCACTATCCCCACACGTACACACACACACACTCGTACACCTTGTAGCCCTCAACCAGATCCAACATCCCCACATTCATAGAAGCGTAGTCGCTTCCGTTTACAATACAATACACAAACAAAACAAAAGAATAAATGAAAAATTCTAAACTAAAAAACTTTTACAAATTATCATTTTCAAAAATATTTGTTGCTTTATTTTTTTTATTACTTAAAACATTTTATTTTTGAGCATTTGATGGCCTTAGAAAAACACGGATCGCATTTTAAGTTGATTTAAAAGGAAATCCTACGATAAGTTTCATGTCGCCGCGGGCCTTGGTAAAGTGTTCTAGGATCTGGAAGCAAAATCAGTACGTAAAAATGCTACGTTTGTATGTACATACGCACTATGTGTGCCCCATTTTTCTAAATGTAAAAGACAATTATTTATTCCTAAATAAAATAATTGAGGCCGGGACACCTTAAAGTCAATGGATGGCTGAACTGTCGCAAACCCACTCAAAGCGTACCATTCAACTAACAACCAATCGTCCAGAAATACATACATACTTCTGAAAGCAGTGTAAAAAATATATCTTAGAAAGAAAGAAGAATAATTTAATTACAAAAGATCTGGTTTTGAAAAAATGTCTTCAAGGGCTATGTGAGACTATGTAAGTGCCTATGTTACTTAAACTTTGTAAACACTAGCCCTGGTTTGCTCCTATTCGAGTATGAAATCGGCCCTAAATTTTAGAGGAACTATTTTGATATTTTATCAAACCTTCTCGACCACCCTATCTCCTGTATTTGGCATCATAAAATGTTGAAAATGCCAATTTTTCAAAACATATTTTTGTTTTTTTTTTTGGTTTCAAGTAAATAAATGAAATATATGTATGTACAAATGTAAAACATAATAAAAGCATATTCAGATATGCTTCGTTTTGAATTACCGGAGTTTTTATATTCAAGATAGATGGCAACCCTATTTACTGAAATATTTTCCAATGATTTTTAACTGATTCTTATATTTTACTTAAAGAACGTATAAAAGTACTCGTAGCACAAAGTATGTATATTTAAATGATTTTATTTTTTGACCTTTGCCCCTGACTGATATTGTATAGATATAAACACATTCATATGTTGTTCGTCTTCGCGGCTTCCAGCAAACCAGTGAGTGGGCCTTACCATTCTCTCACAAAAGTGCAGAGTACTCGATTTCCTGTGTTCATTTCCCAGTCCAGGATGGGTGTTGGCATCATCCCAAATAATCTTCGGTCGTCGAGGGCAGTTCGTGCTCTTATTACATTTCTACACAATTTGGCTGCAGTTACTACCTGACCCATTCCTTTTGGGTCGTACAAGAATATTGTTCAACACCCAAAGTTATAGAGACCACGAAGTGTAAAATTATATATACCAGCACACAGCCACCTTGAAGTAAAATGCGAAATGAAATTAAATTACTTAAAATGAGAAGAATTCGGATTGGAGTTAGAATTTCAATATCCTCTCAAATATAGGAAAAAAATATGACCTAGCCAATTGAGTTTTACTAGTGCAGTACCGCCCGTTTAATTTAGTTTTTATGCAATTTCGACTATCTAGGGTACAAACTAAATGGAGCTCGCTTTCGCTCAAAACAATTGAATGGGGGTGTAAATTAACCGGGCCATACTGTACTGCATACAGCACATTTAATACTCAAGCAACTTCTATCGAAAATTAAGGCAAATATCACTTATATGCGTGTGTGTATAGTGCTAGTGCTGATAATTTTGTGTCACCTTTTTGGTCAAAATATTAATTCGCAAATTTGCTGCGCTAACACTCGCTGCCAAGCACGGGTAGACGCAATGAAATTTATTTTCCGATTTCAATATAAACGAATTGCCAAATAAAGCTTTCGCTAACTGGAAAGTCACTAATCTCTGCGCGAAATAAAACAAAAAAATGCAAATTCTCCAACACCATATACATACATACATAATAAATTGCCTGCACTTTGCAGCTTAGCGGCGGAAAAAGCATTTGAAAGCCATTTAGACAATGAAAAAGTTTATGTACATTTTTATGCGGCGTAAAAACGCCAAATCATCACTATAAAAGTGCATAATTCCGGCACTTGGAGCACTCACAAGTGTTAAAAAATGCGGCATGCGGCATGCGGCACTCACTCGTCAGCTAGCATAGTGGCTGGCGTACAAGTTGCCACCAACGGCGCGGCCCTCGCCAGCTCGAGCGCGAAAAACAGCGCGAAAATCGCATTTGTTACGAAATATGCTCGCCGAAGCGCCAACAAACAGCCGTTTGGCGGGCGGACGCGCATCGGATTAGCCTAGGGGGTGGCAGCCTTCTCATTACCTCTCGAATGGTGGGTGGCGCTGCCGGTGGCATAAACATGCCAGTAAACAAAATGTCGATGTGGAAGCGTCACAGAGGCAGGAGCAGCTGGCTCAGCAATCGATGTGTGTGCGTAGGTGTGTGTAGGTGTGTGTGCTATACTTGGTCGACATTGTTATTTGTTTGCAGTCGAATAAAAATAAAATGAAAATGCTAATGCAAGTAAAAAAAAAGAAACAAAATGGAATACCAACAACAACTCACACGAGCGCAGCACAAATGAAAATTGAAATGGAAATGTAAATAGAAATAGAAATAGAAATAGAAATAGCAATAAAAGTATGCGCACACACGCACACGAAATTTAAATAATTGCAAAGTAGATTAAAAGCGAATCAAGTGGCTTTCGAGTGAGTGAGTTAGTGAGCTAGCGGCTAGCGAGCCCTCGTCCATTTACTCCCTCATATGTTTGTATGTATGTATATACATATGTATGTATGTATGGGTAGTTTGGTAAAACCGCTTCCGTCGCGTTCGCGTTCCACCGGCGGGCACAAAATAAAGGTACACCCACACACACACACAATCTACGATCTGAAAAACTGCTGTGGATTCGTATGAGCGCGGATGTATGTATGTGTGCACACACACAAACATGTCGTCGATTAGATTTCGCTTTAGCCGATGGCATTTGCCACAAACAGTCGCAATAACAAATTCACACACACACACACACACACACGCACACAAACACAGACGCTAAAGTGGCATTAGTTGGCTCCGCGCATCGCTTGCATGAATGTGGCGTGTAGGCGGGCAATGGTCTTTGCAGCAGCACTGCAGCTATGAATGCAAATAAAATAGTGCAATTTATTTGCTATCGCAAGCAACTGACACAATAAAATGCTATTTTTCCCACATTCTCATGTCCTCATAT